AGCACCACAGCTGGATCAAAGTGGGCGCCAGTACTCCTGTTGGATGATGTAGGTACTAAGGTCATGCTTTTGTTGCCAGCACGACAGCTGGATCAAAGTGGGCGCCAGTACTGTTGGATGATGTAGGTACTAAGGTCATGTTGGAGGTGTGGTAGGCTCCTAGACTCCTGGGTCTGGGAATCCTTGTCCATGATCTCTTCCTTTCCTCAATGGGTAAGTCTCAGGGCTCCTCTTCCCAATCACTCTCCACCTCAGCTGAGGCACAGAGTTGGGGATCCCAAGCCTTAGAGGCCTCTCCCCATGTCTCCTCCTCCTCCTCCTCAGGAGTCTCCATAGCTCCCTCTGAAGGAAGCCCCTCTTGGTCTTCTTTCTTTATCCTGGCTGCTGCCTTGCCCTCTCCCTCTCAAAGGTGGCCTTCATTAGCCAGCTCCATCACAGGTATCTTTTCTACTAGGGACTTGGGAACTATGGCCTCAGACCCAGGGTGTTGGTGGTGACCTTCTCACATGCATGCACCAAAGATGCTCTTCTTCTGTGTGATTGATAATGCTCATTGATAGCTTCTTATGCATATTCATGAGCCCCTGTAACAAACACCAAACTAACACAAAAAGGGATGGGAAAATCATTCTCAATTTTGTTGCATTTTCCCAAAACCCACCTCCCGGTTTTCCCCATCCTTGTTTTGCATCGGGTAGGATACCTCCTGACCTCACAGGTGGACATTTTCCCCACTGTGTGTTTATTTCTACATTCTACCTAGAATATGCCTTTATGGATTTTCCTCATTCGTTCATTTTCTCTCACTGACTAAAGGGAGTGTATATTCAAACTGCATGCATTTAAAAACAAGGGCATAGTATTGTATGCACTTTATTGATCAGAACCATCACAGAAGACTCATAATGTGCGTTTTTAATCTCAGGTACAAAACATGACTTTAATCAGGACTGTTGAATTCGATTAAGTTCTTTTCCATTCCCACTAAAGTGCTTGGGAACACTGTGTCACATGCCCCGACCACATCATTAAAAAAAAAAGAACAGCAAAATCTATTTTTTTGGGGGGGGAAATGTGTTGGTAGCCTGCATATAGGTGAGAATTACCAAACTGTTTAATTACAGCAGTTTCTGTGTCATTCACAGCCGCTCTCCTTTTGAGAGATGCTAGGAAGAGAGTGGCCCAAAGAAAGGTCCGTAACCACCATTGGTATTGCAGTTTGAGCTCAAAATATTTCCTCCTCCTGGGCAGGGAGATGGAAGCCGCCTGGTATTTTCCTCTTGCCACCAATCACAAAATAGCCCCCCGATATTCAGAGCAGGAGCTGGGAATCCCCCGTTCAATTTTTAGATTAACTCTCAGCTCAGTGAGTAACTTTAGGGAAAACCAAGCTTAATATGCGGATAATTTAAAAAATGTGTGTGTGTGTGTGTGTGTGTGTGTGTGTGTGAGAGAGAGAGAGAGAGAGAGAGAGAGAGAGAGAGAGAGAGAGAGAGAGAGAGAATAGTTAAACAAGGAGAAGAAAAGAGGAGAGAATACTAACGCACAAAAGCAGAACTATACATCAGGGGAAATTCCTATTTTGGATTATATATCCAGAACTCCGTAGCTAACACAGCCCTACTGCAGGACATGACTAGAACCATGCTTCTTTTCCCACTAATTTCAGCAAAACCCCTCCCTCCGTTACAACCTGCCTGCCTTCCTCTATATAGAAAGCAGCCAATCGGCACCATGTTTCTTTTTTTAGGAAAGAGGAAGTAGATTCATGGGATTCATCCTTTCACCTGCTTCTGAGAATCACCCACCCACCCACTCTCTCTCTCTCACACACACACACACACACACCATGTGCCACCAGAGGTCACTGTCTTTTCTGCCTAACAACAGGTCCTTTGCAGAAGTTCCCAGAAAAATCCAGACCTTTCTGTCCTGGATGTGTTGAGAGAGAGAGAGAGAGAGAGAGAGAGAAGGCCTAGAAATGAACCAGACACTTTCCAAGCATGTCTCAGGGAGAGGGAGAGAGACAGCTGCCTGTGGAGAAGACAGTTGCTACTAGGCCCCCACGACATGGTTCTCGTAGTTCTAAGGCCGGGCAGGGCAAGACAAGGAGGTAGAGCTGAGGCTGGTATTTTTAGGCTTTTCCTCCCCCCTTGTTCTAATTAAGGCACGTGCGTCATGCAGAGCTGCAGCAGGCAGCATGCATTGGGGATCCACCACCTGGGGGGAATCACAAAGGAGAGAGACAAAGGAAGTGCCCAAAGGAAAGAGTACTGGCGCTGATGACATTCCACACATGCTCATATGCACACCCCTGTCAGGATTCAGCGCGGCTCTGAACCTTTAGGATGAAGTCAGGGATGATTATATAAAAACAATAGATTTGGGAGAGGTGTGTTAAGCAGAGCTCGACTGGACCAGTTAAGGATCACACAGTCCACTACTACACACCAGTAGGGAGAACTGCATGTCCTAAAGTGGATCCAGAGTTGTTTCTTTCACCCACAAGGCTCCATCTGTCACTCCTACTATAAGACAGGAATGGACATCAGTTTTTTACTTTTCTTGCCTCTCATCTCAAACCGCCATCTCTTTTCTTGAGATCTGCCTTTCAGCCACTTCTAGGCTACCTCTAGCAGTATTTCTCACAGTTCTCTGAAGCTCATAAAAAGATAGCTGAGAGTCTCCAACTCTCAGCTATCAACAGGTCCCAGGTAATCTAGCATTTTCTTTGTAGCTTGTTATATTCTGCCACTGAGATCCTCCTGTGCACTCAAAAGGAGGGAGAGATAAACTGAGTACAGTATATTGGCATCTCCTGTTCTCTCTATGAAACTTGCTGTCCCACCTGCTATGTTGTCTCCAAAGGCCTACATTTCTTCTCTAGGTTCACCAAGATCTAGTTTCTCTACATGCCTGAAATTAAATTATACAAAAGAAATCATACCAGGATCCTCTCTGTTGCTCATTCATGTCTACCCCCTAGAAGTCTTTCTAGCTTGTGAAACAATGTCAGACCTTTCCACAATAAAACCTCTTAGGTCCATCAGCTGGACCTTGGCAATATCCATCACATTTTTATCAGAGTACCAGTTTTCTCCTGTCTCCAGTCTTGAACAAAATGTCTGCCTCTGAGAAACAAGAGTCGGCAGCATATTAACAACAATCCCCCCCCCCCACACAAGGGACCTCTGCCAATTTCCTGTGGATCACCTGAGGTTGCAGAACTAAGTTGACTTCAGTCTGATCCATCTCCTTTTGTGTTTCTAAGCAAAAAATAAAGTAAAACAAAAAATATTAAAAAATAAAGTTAAAAAGATGGCAACTATGAAAAGCAAGAGAAGCAGCAAAATGGTCCTCTTGTATTTCCAGGTGATAAAACAAGGAAGTTTCAGTTGGGGGCACAGTACATTCATCTGCACACAAAGACGCTTCTGTTGTTTGGTCTATATTGCAAATTCACACATGGACCATTGGGGTTAAATAGAAAAATAAAGAAATAAATGCTCATGACTACTCATAGCATCATGCCCTTAACTCTTAGAGGTGCTTTGTCAAATATTAACACACCCAAATGAACATTGGAAGTTCCAGCTAAGACCAAAAAACAAAGCCACTATATAAGAGGGAAGTTGGTTCACCCTTGCCTTCTAGAATTGTCCATCCATTGTCTCCCACCTCCTCTAGAAGACATATAGACTCATCTACCTTTCTGATATTCTCGTGTCCTTCTGAAACCTGTTGGTGGATTGATCAGAGCTCTGTTTGCTGTGGTAAGTTATAACACAGAGGTGAAATATTAGTTCTGTATCATCTTTATTTAGCAGAGCCTGAAGAACCTTATTTTTCACACTATGTGCTGGTGGAGAGATTTTTGAAGTATATAAAAAGTAACTTTTCCAAACTCTGGTATTTAGTCATAAGGTTAATCAAGAGATTCCTCTCCACTGTCCTTAAAATTCCCACTAACTTCTCTTCTAGGTGAACTGGAAGAACTACCAAAACTCCTTGAACCATATATTTGATTTCCAGAAGGGAGGATTCTGAGTCACCAGAGATGCTTCTGGAATTCAGTCACAGAAAGGAACATCTAAGGAGCCAACGTCCCTCATGTCCAAATGCATTTTATATTTTGCCACAGTTCCCTTCCCTCAGCCAGGAACGAAGTCCAGTCTACGGGCTACTGCGCAAGCCCTTTGTTCACTTTCAGATTGGCAAAAGCAGGCCACAGCCCACTCCTCTACAACCCTAGCAATTGGATCTGGCTTTGCAAGATGTCCCCGTGTGTGTGGATCCACGGATGGATCAGCACTGAGTTAATGCCATTGGCTCGCCCATTAAGGTACAGCAGCACAAGCATTGCAAGGAAAACAGCAAAGTGTGTGTGTGTGTCTCTGAGTGTTTAAGTACTTGGGCTCTCCTGGTGTCTGGGAGCAAATCACGAAGTGAAAGATGCAAGGCAGCGACCTAGGTTTAAGGGATAACCAAGCCCCCGTTAAGCTGAAAGAATCAGCGTGGCTGGTAAATCCAAGCTCCTTAGAAATCATTTGCTGCGGCCCTTTCTTCTCAACTCCATCAATTCCACATCTTCCTTAAGCTCTCCCCCCCACCCCGCTCGCACCCGGCTGGCTGACTGTAGGGTGGCTCTCTGTTCAAGATCAAAGGCAGGAGGGAGGATCCAAGGAAACAGAAACGCTGCTTCCCTCCTTCCCCGCCTCGACAGCATCGTCTCCTCAAGTACGTGCTGGAAGAGGGGTGGGGGGAGGCAGAGAAAACAGTGCCACCGGGGACCGGGTTGGATCAGTCCTGCGTTCAGAGGACGCCCGGTCGCACCTATTGGGTTTCTCTCCCCACCCCTCCTTTCTTTATATGACAAGACTTCTCCGTCCAAAGTTCCCCGCACACCTAATCATCCGACCTCCCCCCCCATCCCGCACGAC